TGCTGGGGGGAGCTGTGACCCGCCCCGTGAGCTCTGCTGCCCGTGCTGGGGGGAGCTGTACACGCCCCGTGAGCTCTGCTGCCCGTGCTGGGGGGAGCTGTACACGCCCCGTGAGCTCTGCTGCCCGTGCTGGGGGGAGCTGTGACCCGCCCCATGTGCTCTGCTTCCCTTGCTGGGGCGAGTTGTGACACGCCCCGTGTGCTCTGCTGCCTAGGTCCATACTGCAGAGGTGCGACTGTCCCCACAAGACTCCTGCTGAACACCAGTCGAGTCACCATGCGTTTTGAGAGTGGATCACACGTCTCTGGGCGCGGCTTCCTGCTGACCTACACCAGCAGCGACCACCCAGGTGCGGCCGAAGGTTCACACAGGTCTTTCACCATAAGGGCTCCTCTTGTAGCTCATCCCCTTCGGGGACAGGTCTGTGATCTCAGATGTAGGTTAAGATGTGAAGGAAGAGAGGACAGTCTCCTCGGGAGCTCAGCCGAGTGGAGCCTTTCTGGGGCGCTGGTGCATGGCTCTGCTGACCTATGCGGGGGTGCTGGGTCCCATCTCTGGTGTTGCACTCCCAGCTCTGGTGCACGCTGTGCTCCAGGGCCTGCCCCAACTCTTCCCTTCTCCAGGCCTGAGGCCTTCAACCAGGGCCCCCAGCCGGATGCCGCCACTCCAGTTCCTGGCACAGAGTGGGACAAGGGCAGGGAGCATGAATACCAGCCGTAGACTGTGTCTGTGGCTGTGTACAGTGGGCTCCTCTCTGGCCCAGTGCTGTTACCACCCCCAGGAGGGGAGAGCTGTTCCTTTCCATCACGCCCAGGCAGCGTGTCCGGTACCCCGCATTGTGCTCCAAGACTCTTGGAAAGTTTATGAGGCGAAAATCTATCATAGCAAGAATGGGCTATGCTGCGAGGGTTATCTCGTGTGTCGGGACCTTAGCTTCGCCCCTGTGGAGCACTGGTTCCCCTCTGCAAATTACTCCAGGGAGCCCAGGCTGGTAAGAGCTCGGTCCTCCAGCACCAGGCTGCAGTGCCGCAGGCTCTGCCGTCACACCCACGGTATGCCTGGCTGCCACCAGCTGAGTGGCTGAGTCAGAAGGTTCTAGAGCCTTCTCCATGTGCCATGGTGGCTTTGAGGTGGCTTTCCTTTGTCAGGGATCCTGCCTTTCACATGTGACTTGCAAGTATGTAGTGGAGAATAACCAAGGGTCAGTTCTTCTGTTGGAAATAGAAGTTTATTCTTGTTCACTCCTTGCCAACACTGCAAAGCCGTCATTGGCAGTGGCCAACAGGAAGCGCAGGTCACTAGATAATGAATAAATTCCTTTAGAAATTGTGGCTTTTATTTATAAAGAAATCTTTAGGTATAAATTCCCTGATTTCTATCTAATCTGCTGATTTCAACTATTTTTATTTGTGATAGATTTAATAACGTGTCTAGAACGAGGTAACCATTACTTGAAGACAGAATTCAGGTAAGTTGAGGGGTCCCGGCGGGGTGGGTCGCGCTGCTAGACGTTTTGTCTTCCTCTGCAAGGCCAGAAAGCACCTGTTTGTGCTGAGCTTGTCTGCAAACCTTTCCTGCAGCGGATGAGGACTAGCTGAGGGTTTCCCTGACCGCAGAGTGCAACGGGCCTCTTTGTGGGCTCGGCCTTCGCAGCACTGCTGGTGGCCTCTGCTGGTGGAGTTAAATGGCAGCAAATGGCCGTGAGTGAGTGTGCAAGCAGGCTGTGCTCCAGGGAGAATTTATTTATTCACAAGTAAGCCACAGTTCGCATTCACGCCTGGGCTACAGTCACTGCCCTGAGTCCCAGTGTGTCACCATGTGCCATCAACCTAAGGTCACCACTTCCCTGCCCAGTATTTAGGGGTGACTCTTCCAGTTACTTACTGAAAGAGGGTAAGGAAGGGGTTATACTGTCTTCCACTAAAGAAAAATCTTCCGAGAACAGGATGTACAAAGCTGCTATACCCAGTGTGCCCAGGATGTAAGGCTATACTTTGCAGTTTTCTCGGACACTGGACACCTGCCGGTGGCCAGCATTGGCTGGCATCAGGTATAGGGGTGAAAGGAGTCATCACTCAGCACTGCCTGTGGGGGTCCTGTTCCCCCTGTATTGCCATGCAGTGTCCTCTGCGGTTACAGCCACATGGCACCACCCCACAGGTGACAAGACTGTGGGTGCCACCAGGCATGCTATGTCCTAGAGGAAGGGGCTACACTCAGGTCTGCATCTCGCTGTGGTCCAGACCGCCTGAGCACTCAGAGTGAATGCCCAGCCACCGTTTGGGCCCACAGCCTCCCCGGGACTCTGGAGCGGCGGAGCTTCGAAAGCACAGCCTTCAGCCATGGCCGGCAAAACCGGACTAGATTAACAGGAGGCTGCGTGTCTTTAGGGGCTGACACGCTACAACAGTTCCCGTCTGGCGCAGCTGTTACCCTTTCCTGCTCACGTGTGGCCCGAAGGTCGCTACCTCACTGGCACCATTCTACCTTCCTGAAATCCAAAATGTCCTGCGTGCAGAGCTCTGCCTGGCTCTTGGGAATGAGCTACGAGGGGCGTGCACCTAAGTAGGAGTCTGCACTGTGAATTTTTTACTTGTGAATTTAATTTTTAATTTTTTATTCATTTTATTTTATTTTTTTAGGTTTTTTTTTTTTTAATTTTATTTATGTGTGTGTGTGTGTGGCCAGTTCAGCCCACCAGGGGGCAGGCTGGCTGGCATGTGGTGCTGGGGGATTGAACCGCAGTCCCTGTGCTTTGCTAAGCTTGTTCTGAGTAGGTGCTTTAGACCACTGAGCCATCTCACCAGCCCCTTTTATTCATTTTAATGAGAAAATAAAATAGCAATGAAACAGTTTCAAAACAGGTCTGTAGGACAGTTACAATTATTAATACATTGCATATTGTCTTCATAGTGGTTAGTCAGAGGACAAGATGCAGACATGATGTCTTCTCTAAACAATATTAGTATTACCTTTCTTCTCATTGAACTAAGAGACAGTAGCTGTATATCTGTCCTATTTTTGTATATACATATTTTTTTCACAACAAAATGGTCCTTTATTTATATTCCCCTTTTTGTTTTGTTTTGTCAGAGAAGCTGTGGTAGGAGAAGTCATTAAAGTACCTTTTCATCCTTGAGCCAGTTCAAATATCGGAGGTACTTGAATTCAGCCAAATAACCCAATATAGTCCAATAGTCCAAAATAATAGTGGGTTATCAGCAGAACTGGTAATTGTCAGAAGTTGTTGACTTGAGCCTTTTTGGCTTTACTTTTTATAACTTGTGTTTATACTTTTCAACTGGATGGTTAAGACCAAGTTAAAGCAAGATCTATGTAACTAAAAATGTAACTTTTGTATCTGACAAGGTCAGTCAAATCCCCTCAGGATTTACCCTGAAACCACATACTTTTGATTACTGCTGTGTCACTGGAAAATGAGTATGAAACACTTATCACCAGTTGTGATAATAGTATAATTAGATTATTATACTAGCAGATTAAATTTTCTAAGTCAGCAAAAGGAAACAGAAAAAGAAATAAAAACAACTGATGTTCTGGAACATGTTTGGGAGAGGACTCTTTAAACAAAGTAAACTCTGTAAAAACTGTCATATACATAGAAGGGCACATGGCACTTGCCTTCAAAGCTAGGAAAACTCCCCTGATATTTGAACTTTTTTTTTTTTTTTTTTGAGATAGGGTCTTGCTATGCAGTTTGGGCTGGGCTTGTGCTTACTTTTGTAATGTAACCCCCTTGAGCTCACAGAGATCCTCCAGGCTCAGCCTCTGGAGTGTGAGGGTTACAGGCATGCACCACCTTGCCCTCTACATGGTGGACACCTGCATCTGGGGCTGAGATGGTGCGCCGGGGAATCCAGGGTGAGACCTCATGCGTGTGGGGCCAGCGATCGAACTCGAATCGTTGTGTTTGCCAGGTAGGTGTTCATGCCTCTGAGCTCTCTCTGGCCCCTGAGCTGCTTTTTTTTTTTTTTTTTTTTTCCTGTATTTAGGACAGGGTTTACAGGGTCTCCAGGGTCTCCCTACGTAGACCAGACTCTTAGTAATTCTCCTGTTTTCAGCCTCCCAAGTGCTGGGATTACAGGTACGCTCCACCACGTCCGGCCTCAGTAGCTGTCGGCGCACTGGGAGGCAGGGCCAACCCTGCACTCCGGGGATTGAACCCTGGCCACTGCGCTCCCCTGAACTTTTTATGTGTTTCACGAATGCACATAGCTCCTCATGTGCTCACCGCCTGATGCTTGGAGGAGCAGGAGATAAAGAAAATGGGTCCTGTAAGCGTCACAAGGACACCCACTGTCACACAGCTGGCTCAGCAGTGCACAGCCTGGTCAGCCCACCAAGCGCAAGGCGCCTTTAGCCGCTCCGCTTTCCATGATGTTTCTGGGAAATTTCTTGAAAGATGATTATCAAATAAGCTGAGCCTTAAGTGTGGGGTGTGTATGAGATTGGATCTCGCTGTCAGTTCAGGCTGGCCTGGAGCTTACTTTTTTTTTTTTTCAGTACCAGGGATTGAACTCAGGACCCTGAGCTTGCTAGGCAGGCGTTTATTCTGAGCTATCTCCCCAGCCCTTGAGCTTACTTTGTAGCCCAGGCTGGTCTCGAACTCGAAGTAGTCCTCCTACCCCAGCTTCCCAAGTGCTAGGATTTCAAGCATGAGCCACCACACCTGGCTTGAACCCTCAGTTAAAAATACACCTTTTTAGAATCTCAGAATAATTTACAACTTACATAGATTAGTACTATGCAATCCAGTAACCACTGGCAACATGTAGCTACTGAAGACAACCTGTGGTGTGCCCAAACTGAGATATGATATAGGTGGAAGACACATCCCAGGTCCGGAGACCACAGGAGGCTGGCAGGGGTCACTGATGCGTTCGTGTTCACTGCATGCAGAAACGAATAGAATTAATCTCGGTGGCACTAGGGAGGCTGAGGCAGGAGGATCACCATGAGTTCAAAGCCAGCCTGAACTACATAGCAAGACCCTGCCAAAGGAAGGAAGGAAGGAAGGAAGGAAGGAAGGAAGGAAGGAAGGAAGGAAGGAAGGAAGGAAAAAGGGCGGGCGGGCGGGCGGGCTGGCAAAAAGAAAAGAATAATTTGGAAATATTGAATTAAATAGAATATATTTCTAACTTTGCCTCTTGTTTAATGTGGCTTCCACAAGAGCTAAGCTTGCACGTGCGGTTTCCGCCAGGCCGCACCGGACGTGGCGTGTGGGGCCTGGAGACGTCGCAGCACATGCTGCACACGTGACGCTCCGGGGATGTTCCTTCTCGTCTTCTTCCTGTCTGTGAAACACCTACCTTGTCATATATTTTAATATCTCTTTTCATAAATATGAACACATACTACATAAATGAAATTTTCCTTGTACCTTAAAAATATTTTCATAGGCATCAGAGAATCAGAGTGAACAAGGAAAGTCACTATTTAACAGCATTTATGGAGAATTCTTAGTAGAGGAAACAATTATTGTGTAAAACTTGCTTCCAGGTTAACATTTTAGATCTGTGTTCACAAATCAGGTGTCTGATTTTATTTTATTCTATTTTATTTTTTATTTTTTTTTTATATGTATTTGGTGCAGGGTCTCTCTGTGCAGCTCAGACTCCTAGTGATCCTTCTCTCTCAGCCTGCCCAGCACCGGGATTACAGGTGTGTGCCACCATGCCTGGTCTTGTGGCCAGCTCAGGGCACCCGGGGCAGGGCCCGCGTGGCAGGTGGCAGGTACTTGCACCTGCCTAGGCACGTGCTTGGCCTGCTGAGCTGTCTCTGCAGCTCTGATAGCTGATTTTTTTGTAAAGCAAGATATTTCTGCCTGTATGGTAAAAGGCAGAAAATACTTTTAAGATTTAAGTACAGTGTAATACTTTTTGCTTCAGTATAATTTATTGGATATAAATGCTTTATTCTTCCAGCAAATTCTGCCCACCTGGCTGTAGAGATATAGCAGGAGATATTTTTGGAAACGCGGCCGATGGCTACAGAGATGTGAGTAGCTGTGGGTGCTGAGGAAGGCAACAAGCAGGGCGCGTGTGGTGCTGAGGAAGGCAATGAGCGGGGCGCGTGTGGTGCTGAGGAAGGCAATGAGCGGGGCGCGTGTGGCTGCACATCTCCTCACAGAGTAAAGCACATCACTTAACTGGCAGGAGCACGATGCTCTTTTCTGAAATTAAACGAAACCCAGGACTTTCTCGGCATTCACTCCAATTTGTAGCATGCAGTTAGCTTACTGTATGTGAAATATAAAATGTGCTTTTCCAACACCTACGATTGTTATTCCACGTTAATCAGTTTTCTGTGACTGTAACAAATACCTGAGATTAGTGGGCTTTATAAGAGGAAAGGTTTGCTTGGACTCCCACTGTGGAGGCCTTCTTCCCTGGTTACCTGGCCTGGTTGCAAGTCATGGGTGAGCAGCTTCTCGGCCTTAGGGAAGCAAAGGCAGGGGAACTGGAGGGGCCCACACCTCTAGTCGCAGGGTCCCCCTGCCCCCAGGTGCCCTGATTGCCCACTGCAGCGGCACTCAGTGAGGAAAAGCCTGTAACACACAGTCGCTGGACTTGAGGTCCATCTTAGTAAGAGGCTACAGGTTTGCATCTCTGTGTTAGGATTCACTTCCTGATCCTCCCACCATCTGTGGCAGCAAGGACGTGACTCTTCATCACAGAATAGTGGCTGTCCAGCTGGCGAGTCCACATGCCCCCTCCACGCACACACAGCCCATCTCCTGCGGCACTCCGTTCTCTATGGCCAGTGAGACCCTCAGGATTACGTACACTGTCCCCAGGAAATTACTGTTCTAAACTAAATTTCTTCTATTTCTGTTCACAGATATCTATCCTGGGACTCTGGTATTAGTTTTAGAGGTTTTTTTTTTTTTAATTTTACATCAGTATTTCAAATAGTTTGGTTTACATCCTCATTTTTGAAAACTGGCGCGAGGTAGTAGAATTGTGCAAAGTACACTAGTGGAAACAGACAGGATGGTGGCCCTTTTAGTGTTCCGTGAGCACAAACAGCCCTCTGGGGCACACGTGCCAGAGGTTTGCCACCACTAATTGACATGCATCTTCAAGAACTAGGAAAACAGGTTTACACATTTTACAGATTAATAATTCTCTGACAGGAGACAAAATACTAGATTTTACTTCTTAATTTGGTACATCCTGTGTGTAAGAGTGGCAGATTTTGTTGCTACTCTGCCGGTCTCCAGGGGACTGGGGTGGCTGCCTTTCCTGTGCTTGCTGATGTGGGTGCACTCCACAGCCCTGGCAGGGAAATACAGCGGCAGCCGCAAGGCTTCCGCACTACTGACTCAGCTCCTCCGCGCGTCCTGTGGCTCCGGGGCTCCTGCCTCTGGGTCGCGCAGGGTGCAGACGAGTACCACCCTCTGGTCTGCTTGAGGCTCAGCTGGGGCTGGAAATGCTTCCAAGCTCGCCTGGTGCCTGTAGCCCGGGGTGACTGGAGGGTGGCGGCCTGAAACCCTGTTTCCTGCTGGGTTTCTGCTGAAGCTGCCCACAGCCACTGTGGCCACTTGCTTCCTCAGAGCCCACCAGGCAGTCTCCCCACCCAAGAGCCTCCTAGAAGAGCACTAGTCCTGAGCACTGTGCTCCTGGGAGTGGCCCAGCTCCTCTGCCGCATTCTGAGGCAGAAGGGAATAAGGGTGCCGCACGAGTGGGACGCGGGTCGCCTAGAGCCTCCCCCGGGGCAGCTCAAGTTGTGCAGCTCCTTGGGAAGGAGTTTCAGGGCCAAGCACATCCCCATGGCAGCGCCTGAAAAGCTGTCAGAGAAAAGCGTTGTCTCATTCTGTGTGGCTCCAGAAGGTGGGGCCCAGAGGGACCCAAGGGACCTGGGGAGGTAAAGGGCAGGAAATGGGTTCGGCCCATCACGCGCTGCACCCCCTCCTCATACCCACACTCCCAGGGACCCGGAGGCCTCAGCATCCCACAGAGGAGGACCACAGTCACCACAGCCAGCCTGTGTCCCACACCAGAGCCAGCTGAGAAGGCCACCAAGCGGGCAGCCCGGAGCAGCCTGGTGCTGGCCCTGGATCGCACGAGTGGAGGAGGCCTCTGGTGTGCCACTTCGTGTCCCGGGCCACTTGTTGCCGCTTGGTTTGGCTGCCCTGAGAAACTTCCGCCCTCACCAAGTCCCGCTGTGTCTGGGAGGCATGGCTGCACAGTGCCTAGCGGTGCTGCTGGCCCACTGAGTCAGGGGGCCAGCTCTGCGATCTTGCTGTCTACTTGCAGACATGCAGGCAACCTGGACTGGCAGGGCCGGGCGGCTGCGAGGCTTCACCGCCCACTGCCTGCTGTGAGAAAGCGAGCCTGCATTCTTGGGGAAGGGGACTGCACAGGCCGCAGGCCAGCTCTGCCCTGGACACGCTGAACGGTGCCTTCTGTGTTTCAGACCTCCCTGCTCTGCAAAGCCGCCGTCCACGCAGGAGTGATCGCAGATGAGCTGGGTGGCCGCATCAGTGTGCTGCAGCGTAGAGGGCTGAGCCGCTACGAAGGAGGCCTGGCCAATGGGGTGCTGTCCAGGGAGTGAGTATCGCATGTGCCAGGAGCTCGCCCTCAGAAAGGCCCACAGCGCTGGTGCCGAGCGCTGTCAGCCCAGACGCTTCAGCGCTGGCCAGCCCTGGGGTCTCAGGCAAAGGCCCCACACAGCAAGAGAGCAGCGCCTGGCGGGGGTGCCCGCCGAGAGCCTCGGAGCAAGGATAAGCATGTCTGCTTGCAGGTTCTTTGGTGGCAGAGACTAGAGGCTTATTCCTTTTTGCTTTTACGTCCCAGTAAAGCTCTGGTGATCTCCCATTTTACTTAAGATACTGAAAACAATGGCTTTGCGAACATCACTAGCTTCTTGGTTTGATGTCACCTTGTCCTTTTGCTTCATGAAAGGAAAGCATGCTGGCTTCCATGACTGTCTCAGCCCAGGCTTCCCATCCATCCAGATTTCAGGAGCATGGAAGTCAGAAAGCCCAAGCTGCACGGGACTGGGAGAGGGCCACACGGTACGGATGCCCGTGCACGTGGGTGAGCTGCTCAGCTCCTTGGTCTCTACTGGACCCTCTTGCCAGGGAGAAACAAAGGCAGGCCGCAGGCATTTTGGAATCTGAAAATGGGAAAAAGCCAGCCTGTGTGCTGTCACCCACCCATCACCAGAAGCGTGACCTTCTCCCCAGCCCTGCTGTCGGCCTGCAGCCCCTCCTGTCATGTCTTACTGTTCCAGTGCTGTGCTGGACTAGAACCGTCCTTATCTGGTGAGAGCCACGCTGCAGGTGGAGCTGTCTCTGGGAGCCAGGTACCTTACCTGTCAGCTGGACTGGATTCCACCTGTCCTGAAGAGGCATATCCTGGGTCAGTCCACTCGTGTTCACAGCCAGAGGTGTGGTTAGGACGTGGCTCCTGGGTCCTCTGAGCTGTGACTCTCCCCTGCTGTGCTTCCTGCCCCCTCCCCTGCTGGGCAGTGCTGCTCCATAGGCCCACCCACCTCAGTGTTCCTGCCTGAGCTGGCCCACCGTGGACTGATCCCCCAAGCCGGGAGCAGGTTAAAAGCCTTTTCCCCTGCAAGTTGGGCATGTCAGGTATTTTGTCCAGCATGAGGAGAGCTGACAAGTATGCCAAGTGAGCACAGATAGGGTGGTCCAGTGTCCGCTTGAGAAAGTTAGGCGATAATTTTTCTCTTCCTTCTTTTACTTAGATCAGAGTATGGGGGTTGCTGGCTTCACTCATTGTCTGTGGTTACTGAACCTGTGTCCCACACAGGAAAAGCACACAGGTCCTGCAGCGAACACCAGAGTCCTTAGGGTGCCCCAGCTGGTCAGTGCAGAGCAGGGTGGGGTGGGTCGGGCACAGGGAGAGAGGCAGCTTGCAATCCCAGCGATTCTGCTGTCCTTGTGAAAGGACGGACGTAGCTTAGAGATGCCCTCCTGGGATCTTCTGCCACGGGCGCTGTTCCCCTCAGCACCCTCAGAGCGGGCGAGCACAGTACTTGCAGCTGGTGGGGGAAGCGAATGGCGCTGCGGGGGTACAGCCTACGGGCCTCTCCTCCTGTGACGGCTGGGTCAGCTGTGAAAGCTAGTGAAGCCATCACTGCCCTGCAGCAGGGGACGTGGGCTGTCTGCCTCAGCGGGATGGGAGACTGGCACCCAGATGCTGCAGATGACGCTGGGCCCTTACGGCAGTGGGGCAGACCAGGGTCAGCGTGCTCAGGTGACCGGTGGTGGCTGCTGGTGTTCGTGGGATGCCAGGATGCCGGGATCTTCCTTTGAACCCCAAGGTGTACAGTCTCTGCCTTAGGAGTAGAAGAGGAACAGAAGGGAAAACCTTGCCAAGCATTTTAGAGCCCACGCCTCTCAGAGCGCTTGTGGCTGGCTGGAAGGGTGCTCAAGTTCTGGGACAGATTCGCTGGCTTCCTCGTGAATTTCATGTTTGAGAATGCTCTCTCTGTCTCTGTTTTGGATTTGTCTCTGTCTCTCCACTGTGCCCAAGCAGCATATAATTCGGACACAAACAATGAAACACAGCCCTCTCACATGAAGACATAAACCCAGCATGACTCTGCTCCTCTGCCTTTTCCTCTGCTGTTGGGTACAGTGGGTTCTGTGCGGCAGGCACGCCCCAGGGTGCCACACCCCCATTCTGGCCCCTCGCTTCTCACCAGCGAAGGGCAGGGATGGCCTTGCCAGGCCTGCTCCCCACAGAGAAAGGCCCAGGAAGCACCTGGCAGGGACCCAGGGGCAGGCTGTCAGGGAGGAGAGGGCTGTGGGGTAGGCCTGGGGCTACTGCCCCCTCCTGTGGCCTGGCCTGTGACCATGCGTGTGCGTGGAAATGGCAGGCAACAGCGGGGCAGGGCACTCCAGGCTGTGACCTCTCTGCCTCAGAGCTGGCGCTGCTGACTAGGACCAGCTTGCTGCTGGGGCCGCCCCCCTGCAGCTCCTTCCCTCCAGTGTGGCAGATGGACTGGACAGGAAGGGTGGCCCGGCCTGGATCCCGCAGCACGCTGGCGGGCCCCTCGAGCCTGGCTCACTCCTCCCGCTGTCTTTATCTTTGCAGTGGCTCCCTGTCCAGAAAGCGGTTCCTGTTCACCTTGGACAATGGTAAGGAACTGCTTTCTCTAAAGGTGTAGTCCTTGCAGCCTTCAGTGGTAGCTAGTTTTGCAAATCCAAAGATTATTATATATTATAAATATTATGCTTTCCTGAGGTCATGAGGCACCAAATCTTCTGTGACTTAAAAATATTCAAGAAAATAAGTCTCAGCAGCATTGAGCAGACAGTGTCTTTCTATACAAAGAGTAATAGAAAAATACGGTGCCTGTTTAAATTTAAATTCAAAATACATGTAATCCCAGCAGTAGGGAGGTGGAAAACAGAAGGATCACGGCAAGTCTGAGCTACACAGTGAGACCCTTACCAAAAATAATTAATTCAAAACATATGAGCTGGGCCTGGTGGCCCATGCCTGTGACCCCAGCACTCGGGAGGCTGAGGCAGGAAGGCTCCTGCGCTGCAGGCCAGCCTGGGCTGCTACTGCAGTCCCACGCCCTAAGCCATTACAGCAGACACAGCGCCTCGCGTCCCTGGGAACTGCCCTCACTTCTAGTACGCCTCTGCCCTCGCCACATCTGAAGCGTTCTTGTGCTTATGGAGTGCTCACTCCTCGAGTGTCTTTGTGAGATATGATCACAAACATGTCGCAAGCTGCTGCCAAGTGCCAGCCAGTGAGCTCACGGCAACGTGACGCCCCAGCCTTGTCCACCTCAGTGGCCACCTCACTGTGCTAGTCCATCTTCTCCAAAGTCACATGACCACAGAGGAGCGTGTTTTGAGTGTACTCAGGGCATCAAGGCCGCCTCACCAGTGCAGCTGCACAGTGAGGAGAGAAGCCCCGAGCTGCTGCAGGTCGGGGCAAGGACGAGGGCACGGGCAGCCGAAGCCAGGCGGGGCGGGAGGGTCTCGGCAGTGTGGCTTTCACTGTCAGTTTTTCTAAATTTAACATTCAGGGCTGGCGAGATGGCTCAGTGGTCTAAAGCACCTACTTAGAACAAGCTAAGCTAAATCAAAACGCAGGGACCGCGGTTCAATCCCCAGCACCACATGCCAGCCCGCCCCGCCCCCTGGTGGGCCGAGCGGGCCACACACACACACACACACACACACATAAATAAATAAATAAATAAATTTAACATTCATCATATTTTCCAATCACACCTCATACTATTATGTGTCCTCTCTCAAACCCGTGCCAGAAACAAAGAAAAGTGAAGGAACACTTAGAATGAAGTTCTCCCGTTCAAATGTAGGAGAATCTCTGCATTAGCATTTGGTTCGTGGCTATCTTGCAGGAGGTCAGTACAGGCCCCCTAAAGTAATCAGCAACAGCAAGAGCTTGTTAGCTTTTCCACTGTGAGATAAAGTCTGTGGAACTACTTTTCCTCAGCATAAAGCAAGATATTTTGTGGGAGACAACATGTCTTCTTGCCAGGGAGAAAGGTGTGGTCTTTATTTGCTGTTCCCACATTGCCCGGGACACGGGCCAAGTTACGGCTCGGAAGTGACGTCGGCGTAGATCTTCCTGTCCCCTCTCTCCTCACTGCGCTGGGGATTCAGTCCAGGTCTCCGCCCTCAGCTACCTCCCCAGCCTTATCATCTCATCAACATTTTTATTATTAATTTTGAGACAGTATCTCAGTGCACTGCACGTGCCGGGCTCGAGCTAGCGATGCTCCTGCTCCGGAGGGCCGGATGCGAGGTATGCGCCCCCGTGCCCGACAGGCCTCATCTGCAGCCTGGTCGCACCTGATTTTCAGGGGCAGATGGCGAGCACCCCACTGACTTTTCTTGGGGTCAGGGTCACTGCAGTCCTGTGAGACCAGCTGTGCTGTGCTGAAGTCAGGGTCAGTTAAGAAGCTGGAAAAAGAGGATCTGTGCTGGGGACAGAGACGCCAGAGGTCTTGGGACAGAACACAGCCACGGACCCAACGTGGAGCTGCAGACGAGCCTGTGGCTGGCAGTGCTGCTCAGTCAGGCGCTAGGGGCCGGGTCAGGCGCTGGCTCCGAATCGGCCACGGCAGTCTGCTACTCCTTCCCGGGAGCTGAGCGCTCGGCTCAGCGTGCTTTCCTGCCCTCTGTTCTAGACTGCGGCAGAGCCCTGAGTGCTGACTCCCACGTGCAGTTCCGGGCCTCTTCCTCCTGGCAGGGCATCAGCGACACTGGACAGCTCTCTCCCTGGTCTCCTGGCCAAGCCCAGCTGCAGGAGCAAGGCCCATCATGGGCGGCAGGCGACAGTGGCGGCCACAAACAGCAACAATGGCTGGAGATAGACCTGGGGGTTGAAAAGAAGATAACAGGTACTCAGGCGAGGACCGGTGCTTTCCCGAGCGTGAGGTGTCCCTGAGTTTATGACATCTTTCAAATGTGCTGCAAGCCTCGTCCACTGCGGCTGTGCAGGGGCCTGGTCCAGGCTGACGCACAGGTGCGGGCGGCCTCTGCAGGCAGCTGGCCGGCCAGGAGATCGGGAGAAGAAACCCAAAATTCTAAGTTACATTATAGGGGCCAGGGAGATGGCTCAGTGGAATAAGTGCTTCCCCGGCAAGTGCATGGGCCTGAGTTCAATCCCCGGTTCCACAAAAAAAAAAAAAAAAAAAAAAAAAAAGTTACATTATGCATAACTACTTTTAGAACTAACCAATAAATGACATTTTCTCACAAGGAATTAGGACCACAGGATCCACACAGCCAAATTTCAACTTCTATGTCAAGAGTTTTGTGGTGAACTTCAAGAACAGCTCTCGGTGGAGGATCTACAAAGGACTCGCGGGTGGCAAGGAGAAGGTAAGAGCGGCTCTGCAGAGCTGAGAGCTGCTGGTGGGCTCGCAGGGCTCTGCGCCTGCACTCATGTTGCAGTGCCTTCTCCAGCATGTTCCCTGTGTGCCCCAGAACGTGAACGGGCTGACAAATCCTTAACAGCTGGGCATGCGGCCTGTGCCTGCAGTCCGGCAGTCTGAAATGCAGAGGCGGGAGGATGGCAAGATCGAGGCCAGCCTGGTCAACTTTCAGACTTAGCCAGACCTTGTCTCACAGTAAAGACATTTTAGAAAGGACTCATGCCAAAGCCCTGGATCCAACTCCCAGTACCACACACACACACACACACACACACACAATGGCATTACTTTTCACATCTCGTGGTTATACCTTTCTGCTAGATGGTTAAGACCAAGTTAAAGCAAGACCTGTATAAATGCAAATTTAACTTCTGCTATCTGACAAGCTCAGTTAATCTACTTAGGATTTATCTTGGAACCATATACAACACCTCTCAGATCTTCTGTCATTGTTAGCCATCTGGGTGAGTCATGGCTATTGCTTGACCAATTTGCTTTCTGTGAATGCTTAAGAGATTTTTTCTCTCCAGGTAACTCTCTTTAGGCACATGATATATTTTTGATCACTCCTCTGTGGTCCCATAATCTCCTTGATCAGAAAATGAGGGACTCAACTGAGTTACAGGATTCACAGCAGAGGTTCTCTTATGTCAGGAGTCCTCATTGACCTCGAAGGGCTAGGGCCAAAATATTGGCTATCCTCTGAGCCCATGTATCGCTCTAATTTTTGGTCTCCAAACTTTAGTTGTTAAACATCCAGAAGAAAAGCTTAATAACACTACCCTGTTACAGAGGCAGTAAGCTTAACATTACCATCTATCTGAATATCAAACACATTTGAATATAAAACTATTATTTTCTAATAACCATGGATATTCTAATATTTAAATCCTTATAGAATGTCAAGAGACAATAATTACATATTTTTATACAGAAATTTAGAAATCAAAACCATATACACTATTGTAGCAAGACAATATGACATTTTGTGACATACTTAAATTTTCGTTTTGACATAGCATAACCCCTCTTTTAATGTATTTGGCACAGAGTCTCACTATGCAGCTCAGACTAGTAGAGATCCTCCTGTTATCAGCCTCCCCAGTGCTGGGATTACAGGCTTGTGCCACCAAGCCTGATCTTGGTGGCCAGCTCAGTGAGCCTTGGGGGAGGGGCCTGTGCAGCATGTGGTGCCAAGGATCAAACCTCAGTCACTTCACTTGCCTAAGCAAACACTTAGTTCATTCTGCTATTTCACTGGCCCAACATAACACTTTTAACCAATCATCTCGATCTAATACCTAAGAATTTTCAACTAATTAGTCATTGTTAAATGAGATATGCATCACAAATTTTTTGTTAAAGGCAGAGGTTTGAGTCTGAGAGATAAGTCATCATGCTAAGGTTTTTTTTTTAACATGTAGGACAGGGTCTACATGGTCTCACCACATAGTTCGGACTCATAGTGATCCTGTTTTCAGCCTCCCAAATGCTGGGATTACAGGTGCGTGCCACCACACCCAGTCTCAGTCGCCATCTCTGCATGCCCTGGGGGTGGGACCGGCACAGCATGCCAGGGATTGAACCCCAGCTGCTGTGCGTCTGCCTAAGCCGGCACTTTAGTGCACTGAGCTATTTGGCCAGCCCTACACTAAGCAATTCTTGTTTTACATTTTAGTAGACCTGTATACCAAGAACCATGAATGCAGTTAATACAGCATGAGATTAACAATAATGAATTACCATACACATGTGAAAACCTTTGGTTTTTTTTTTTTGTGTGTTTTTTTTTTTTTCAGAACCAGGGATTGAACTCATGTCCTTGCACTTGCCAGCCAAGCGCTTATTCTACTGAGTCATCTCCCCAACCCTTTGTTTCTTAATTTAGTTTCATCCCAAAAGCATCTTTTAAGAGAAAAACTTTTTTTTTTTTTTTTTTTTTTGTGGAACTGGGGATTGAACTCAGGCCGTTGCACTTGTTAGGAAAGCACTTATTCTACTGAGCCATCTCCCTGACCCCAATAAGAGAAAAGTTTATTGCAAGTTTTTGTGAAAAACTTTATCTTTTAAACCATCAGGTAACTTAGGGAAAAGCATGCTTTTAAGTCTATATGCTGAATTGTATTATAAACAAATGATCAAAAAAAAAAGAATACCTGTTCACAGAACGGCACACAAACACATAATCAAATACTCAGAACACAGAAACCAATATCTTTACATAATCAGAGTGCCCTCAAATATATTTTCGGCCACATTAAATTGTATTAACTATTAAAATTTTTAGATTTTTTTTTTTCAATTAGCAGAGATCTTCTGAGAAAAATTTGGAAGGAATAAAATCTTTTATCTATAATTAATATGTATATTTTGTATTTTTGGTTTTTTTGTCTTAATACTGGTAAAATTTAGCTTTTATTTTTATATATTTTATCTCCTGTTTAGACCTTAGGTTCCCATTTTGTCAGTTCTTCCACAGGCCCCAGGTTGGAATTACTCTCATAGCTACTAACTTCTTCTCCAGATTTGGCTTCATGGTGCAGCCTGACAGCATGCTCTCATACCCAGATGGGTCATTTAGCATTCTCGGGAGAACATAAGCATACCTTATGGCCCCGGTTAGAATTAGACTGGGTCCCTTCCTTTGACTAGTATGGAGATCTCTCCAAAGGACCCTCCTAGCCTTTTTTCTCTCATGTGAAGAAATTGTACTTCCATCTGTTGCAGAATTTAGAAAGTTAATAGTGTATACTGCCAACTGAAGCCTATTATGAGGTGTGAATTCGTAGGCAAAGATTCCCCCTTTTGTTTTGTTTTGGTAGTACCAGGGATTGAACTCAGGACCTTATGCCTCCAGGCAAGCACTTATTCTATTGAGCTTTCTCCCTGGCCCCTCCCCTTTTTGTTTTTGTAGTTGAATTTTGATTAAAACAGTGTGCACGTTCAACAATTCCTTGACCTTGAGGATTATGAGGAATCCCTGTGATAAGAGAAATATGGAAAGTCTTATAAGACTTTTGGAAGACAGCACTTGCACATGCCGGGCCACTGTCAGTCAGTCTTAAGTGTCCGTGGGCAGCCAAGGGCCCTAAAAGCAGCAGAACGGTGAGCAGTGAGATGTTTAGCTGCTTCATCAGTGCAGGCAGTAGCAAATACGAATCCTGAGAACTGTCCACTGAAACACAGACCCAACACAAAGAACCAAATTGAGGAATGTGCGGGACGTCCATCTGCCAACGGTGACTGGGTTGTAACACCTGGCAGGTGATGGTACATGTGTTATACACGAAGAACATCATTTAAGCATTGCCTGGGCCTGTGCTCTGGTCAAACGAAACTGTTTAAGTAAGGCAGAAGCATTCTGATGAAAGGTGGCATGAGACGCAGAAGCCTGCTGAGTAGCACCCCAGCGAGTAACAGTCGCAGCACCCAGCGGTCTGTCTGTAGTAGCAGTCCCTTCAGTGAGGGGTCCTGGCAACCGAGAATGCGAGTGCATGTGACCCAACAGGGAACGTGACGTGACTGTGTGACAACCTGGAGAGTGTGAAGTAGATGGGAAAGATCTTCCTGACTAGTGTGTATAGGGGCAGTTTCCATGTAGTGCATTACACCACAGACCACAGCACTGTCTGAAAAGAGGTTAACTGGAGTGGATGAACGGTCTTACAATGCCCACATGATTTCTTGTAACGCAGCCTTTATGCAGAAGAGAAACCCGTGTCCTGTGTTCTGGAAGAGCAAGCCATCCATAGCCTCCCATAACCTGATGTGACCTGTCTGTGAAAAAAACAAATTAATTTAACTTATTTGCATGATAATGGCAGCCAATAACACCAGAGAAATTAGCCCAAAATCTAGATGGAGCCAATTAATATTACCAGATAAAGTCTGAATCATAAAAGGTTGATCCGAACAGTTTGGGGCACAGTATATCCTTGTTGGATAAGTTGACCCACATATGAAGAAATTATCATAGCTGTACCCCTGTGGAGGCCACTACTAGGCCTTTTATTATTTAAATGGAATGTCAAAATCAAGGGATTGTTTATACCACACTGCTTTTATTTTTTTTATTTTTTATTTTTTTTAGATTTTTTTTTTAACATTTATTTATTGTGTGTGTGTGTGTGTGTGTGTGTGTGTGTGTGTGGCCAGCTCAGCCCACCAGGGGGCGGGCTGGCTGGCATGTGGTGCTGGGGGATTGAACCGCGGTCCCTGTGCTTTGCCAGGCTTGTTCCAAGTAGGTGCTTTAGACCACTGAGCCATCTCTCCAGCCCCACACTGCTTTTAGATTGTACTCCAATTGTCTGTATTTGTTTGTAAAATATCAAAGCTGTTTTTATACCAAGTGTAATTTAGGGCTGTAAAACAAGAAATCAACCTTATTAGGAATTAAAAGAATTTTAAGTAATCCTTTAAAATATTCCATTATAAATCTTCAGGAATATGATTTCTTTTTGAAAGCAAACTTTTTTTTTTCTTTTGTATGTTAGAGAAGGGTCTACAGGGTGTTCAGGGTCTCACTACACAGATTGGACTTGTAGTGATCCTCCTGTCTACAGCCTCCCAAGAGCAGGGATTACAGGTCACCACACCCAGTCTCAACTGCTGTCTCAGTGTGCCCCAGGGTGGGGCCAGCAAGGTAGGCTGGGGGATCCCCAACCCCTGGGCCTGCCTGCAGGCACTTTAATCTGCTGAGCTATTTGGTGGGACCTAAAGCAAACTTTTTATCTTTAGGATGGAAACAGCCTCCCAATCCAGTCACCTTAAGGGGAAAACGTAAAAATCCGTCTTCCAGTGTCCATTGTAATGGAGAGAGAACTACTCTTATCTCCGGCCCGCTGCCAAGCTCTATTCCTTGGGGACAAATGCCCCCTGCATCTCTCCAGGTTGGCAGCCCAGCACCTTTCCCTTTGCAAAAATTGGAAAATTTCTAAGTAAAGGAAAACAGTTCAAGGGTTTTGGAACTCCCAATGCTGATTGGGTTGAATCAATTAAACAAAATCGCCCAGAGATGGAGTTGAGTATTGAAGAAAAAGCATTTAAAGGGCTACGAGACACAGGTGCGGATGTCTCAGTTACTGCTCAGCACCTTGGCCTGAAGCCCGGCCTCCGGATGTGGCCACTAGATTCACAAGGGAGGCTCCTACCTGGAGGCCATCCACGCTTGCATTTGAAAAGCCCTTTAAAAGCGTTTTTCCTCTAATCAATCCCTATTTTTTAACCCAATATTTTTTTTCTAATAATTTAAAATTTTTTATCAAAGAACAACCGAGTGCTCTGAGCCTGGAGTGATCCTAACAGTGTTTTGAGTAGACTGAACTAGAACTTTGATTTCCCGCATCCTGGCGGCTGGCACCAAGCGAGCCCCGGAGACTTCTCTGCAGTGAGGCTCCGCGTCTCCTTGCTGCTCTAACTGTATGGCTGCTAGCTGCAGCCCAGCTGTCTTAGCGCTGAAGTGAGTTTTCCGGGGCCCACATGCCCTCCCCAAGCTTTAAGGGGGCGATGGCGCCGTCATCATGGCCTCAGTGCACAGAGGCACAGCGGCCAGCACGTGTGCTAGGTGTCCCTCTGGCTCTGTCTTTTACATCCGTCTCCAAGAAGGGGAAAATAGAAAGGAATCGCTACAGGACTGGGCAACCCGTTACACTGCTCCGTAAGTTCCAGGTGTGACTAACTGCCCACAAGTTCTGCAGCAATCTCCATCCTTTCTGTTTTCTTCTGTTCTTGGGTTAAAAAATTGGGGCACTCCAAGGGCTACTGGAGTGTTCTACGTGCCCCGCCATCATCTGCTCAGCCAGGGTACGAGCTGCTGTTATCTGCTCCTGGGTGAGGGCCACTGATCAACCCAAACAGGACCATCAGACACCCAAGTTATCTTGGATGCCATCCATGCGGTCAGAGAAGAGAGCAAGCCCCTCCTGGAAATGTGGGATGAGCAGCCAAAACGGTCCCTTTCAGGAGTAACTGGAAGAGGTTCTTTTCTCCTTCGATTATTTTCACTAAGCCCTTGAGTGGGGGAAACCTTATTGCAACATCTGATGATCACCAGGGAGTTAGGACTGGCCAAAGTGCTCCCCTACCTTGTAATACGTCACGACCCCATAGATTGACAGGTATACAGGGAAGGACATAAGGCGAGAAATGTCCAGGATGGCCTTCTGCATCCCTCCAGGTTAGCGACTAAGCACTTCTGCTAGGGTAAGAAACCTTGCCCACCCTTGTGCATCTGTAGTGGCCACCTCCAGAGGCCGGGCTTCAGGCCAGGGTGCTGAGCAGTAACTGAGACATCCGCACCTGTGTCTCATGGCCCTTTAAATACTTTTTCTTCAGTACTCAACATCATCTCAGGGCGATTTTGTTTAATCGGTTCAGAGTCCCAAAACCCTTGAATTGCTTTCCCTTATTTATAGTTTCCAATTTTTGCAAAGGGTAAATGGCCAATTGAGCAACAGGAATATCCAGGAGATTTGAACAATGGTTTGGGCGGACTGAATTACGACTGCAACAGGCGTACCAGGAGATTTGAACAATGGTTTGGGCGGACTGAATTACGACTGCGATTTTTTTCTGTGTCATCAGCATTGATGACACGGGTGCTCCCAGGACTCGCTCACTGCCATTCCCCCTCCCTGAGAGTCCAGGGTGCTAACTGGCCCCTGGATACTTCGTTTGTGTACAGACAGGCCCTCTCTTGAGCCTAACAGATTTCTGATGCCAGCAATGTGCATAACCGTCACCAAGGCCACAGTGAACCTTAGTCGTGACCCTCCCACCTAGCGACAGGCGCACAGGCCTGTCGCTCTCAGCTTGTGCCAGCCTCTCTGGCCGGATCTGATACACAGATGCACAACGGGCAGGGAAATCCCAGCTGAGTCTGCAAGGACTGGAGCACGCGGCCCTCCCTGAGCCCAGTCTGTGCCCCTTCCTCCAGCAGCACATGCTGCCTGGAACCAACCGCTTACAATTTAAAAACTTCTTCCTTTTTATCTAATTGAGTAAAGCTAGAGGGTTTAAAGTCTCTCTGCTGTGCCTTTGCTTACCCTCCTCCTCCTGTTTGGACCTTGATTTTAAAACAGTGCTCCATGCTAGGTCCTTGGTGGTTGTCTTACAAAGTAACACAAGTACAGGAACCCAGAGAACACCAAACATTTTATATACATCTACCAACATCTGTGTTCTTGAAACTATCCCACTTTTAACTCAAGCTAACATTTTCCTTTTTGGCTCCTCTCAAACCTGTTTCTCTCTCTATGCTCCTTTCCCTCTCTGGCCCATCTCTGGCCCTAATGAGCCTCCATCCCCAAGTGTCACACCTAATGTGCCGGTACCAGTGCCCGCCTGTGCTGAGCAGTGGCTGCGACCAGCGCACTCCCCTCCCTTATGTGCGCTCTTTGGAAGTGCTCCTATTGCCCACACTTACCTCGTACCAGTGTCCTGATGGGGCACCAAATGGAGGGATCCACTGGTCTCTCAGTGTGATCCCTTATTCCCAGGGAGAAAGGTAGCTGGAGTGAGGATAAGCCAAGAGCTGGGTTAGGTGGCGGCTCATCTGCCTAGCTAGCTACAAGACCCTTGTACAATAGTGAGAGCCTTTATTTCTACTTTTACAGAGCTCCAGGACACAAGGTTGCCTAGCGACTAATAGCCCACACTGTCCAGGCTGGATGTTTCTCTCAAGACTGAGGTAGCCTGACTGCTTTAGGCAGTGAGACCTCATCCTGCCCTCTCACACAGGATCCATTTCAGCTTCAGTGGCTCCCAGTACAGTGGTGGATGTGGGTCTTGCTCATTGCCACTGGAGCTGCAGCTGGGCAGTGGGCAGTGGGAGCCGCTGACCTGTGCTATCAGCAGCACCACATTTACATGGAAAGGTCACTGCCAAACAGCATGACAGAGCAATTGTAGTTCCTCCATCCAACAGTGAAATGAAATAGAGCACAGTAGCAGCAGCCCAAGATATGTTCAGTACCCCAAGTATCTGCAGAAAGGCGCCACCCAAGTCCTGGGTGGTTTCCTGAAGGGAGGGCCTGCTCCTGCCAGCAGCCTCAGGGAGGTCGCCGCTATCTGTCTGCAGGTATTCCAGGGCAACACCAACTGCCAGGACCCCGTGCGCAACAACTTCATCCCACCCGCCGTGGCCAGATACGTGCGGGTCCTGCCGCGCTCCTGGCACCAGCGGGCAGCACTGAAGGTGGAGGTCCTGGGCTGCCAGGTCACGCGAGGTGGGGCCCTGTGAGTGGGGAGCCCTCGGTGCTGGTGCCCTCCTTTGCACAGCATCATGTGGTCTGGTGGCTCCAATGTCGCTTTCCTCTCAGGAGATGAGACAACCACGTGGCATGAAGTCAGTCCAGACGTCGGGCTTTCAACCGAGAGAGGAGAGCCACCCACAGAGCCCAACCCTGTCCCTGAAGAGGAAGGGCCTCCACCTGGAGCAGGTGCTGTTTCTTGGCTTCTCGGGGGGTGACCAGCACCCTCCTAGCTGTCACAGTCCAGAGCAGCCTATCCTATAAATGCTGGGGCAGCTGGTCTGGAGGTACCTGCTTATGTGTAGCAGGACGCCTGTCCATGCGCCTTAGGGTGACATGTCAAGGAAAGAAGGCCCAGAATCAAACTTAAGTGTCCTTCAGAGGCTGGGTGGTGTTCTGTGGGAAAGTAAAGTGGCACATCCACAGTGAAATGCTCCACATAAGAAAGGACGTCTTAGTAATACAGGAAATGTTCAGAGTTGTGCTGGCCACTTAAATGGGAAAGTGTGGACCAATCTAGATAGCCATTTGTATAAGGAGGGAATGCAGGATCAACACACATTTCTAGGATCTTTACAGACATCAGCAGGTAGAATTTGGTTCTTGTGGAGAACTGGAGAGGTACTAGGGAGACACTCCACTTCATACCTTGCTATATTGGAGGTTTTTAACATGAAATGTAAAATCTATTCAAGGAATTAAAGTATATGTTAATGTTAACATTTTTGAGAATATAAAATGAAAATTTTTAAAAATTTCAAGATTATAAGAATATATTAAGAAAAGAAACATCCACCATTGGTCAGCAACAATAGATGTTCGCCATGTCCCACTGTGTCCAGTCACCTGTCATTTCTGACAGGACAGAGGCGGCATAACCAGCACTGTTCTGTGGTGTAGACTTCTCATTCAACAGTGCACTGCTAGTGCCTCCTAATCTGATCACACGATGCAAAAGGAGCTACCAGTACCTTGTCAGTATCTGTGCTGTCCTTGACCCGCCGCCACTCAGCTGGGTATTGAAGGGTTAGTCACTCTGACCTTCACCCGCATAAAACGGCCCCACTGCCGTCCATGAGCTGCCCCTGTCCACTTCATGAACTGCGCACTTCTGCCCGATGGGCCTTGTATTTTCCTCCCTCTCGTGGTTTCCACTCGCTGCTCCAGTGCCACTGAGATGACTTCCTGCTTTAAAGCACTGGCTTGTGCAGACTTTGAAACTGACCAAGTCACAGTCTCAGAGTGAAGGTCAGCCCTAAGAGCTGGACAATGCCTCTGGAAGGGGCAAAGATATATTTTATTTTCCCAAAAGTTGGCCAGGATTTTGAACCCTCTTCTTTAACCTTCTGGGACCAGAAAGTGCTCAGCGTGTATTTGTTGTCCCCTAAATCCACCTTAAGTGTTGAGTTGCGCACCCCTCCTGCCCAAGGCTGAGGCTATAATGCAAGCTCTTGCCCTTCTAGGACTGAAGGCGACCACTGTGGCCATCCTGCCGGTCCTCCTCGGAGCCCTCCTGCTGGCTGCGGTGGGGGTCTTTGCCTTCAGAAGGTATGTGACTTCAGCTGTTACATTGCACGATTACACCAGCAACCCCAACAGCTTAGAAAAGGAGCGTGTCTTTTAAGAAAACACTAGTTTATATTTTAAAAAGGTAGACTAGAAACTACTCAGTGTTGCTTTATAAACAACTCATTTCTTAGAACCCAGCACGGCTCAGCCAGTGCACCATCTCCAAGTGGTGTCAGGCTGTGGGCAGCCCTGCCTCTGGCGTCCCTAAGACTCAGCCCCCACGTTGAGAAAAGGAGTCTGCTACAACAAGCGCTGAATGGGACAGAATTCCAAATCTTGAGTTTACTGTGTCATGAGTTAGGAGTTGGCTTTAAGCAGGAAACGTGAAACATGAAACGTGAAATTTTCTTTTTCCATTTTAAACAGTTTCAGAACTCCTAATGGTAGGTGTCAGGTAGTTAGGGTGAAGACCTGCTTCTGACTGTTCCTAGGGCTCTGGCAGCCGCTCCTGAGGAAAGCTTGGGGCTTTGGCTTGATGCCTTCTCAAGCCCTCCGAGCTTTTAGACAGGAGCGACACCGCAGAGACCCCGGGGTGTGAGGCCCTGGCAGGACCCACAAGCAGCGGTGGGCGGCCGCGCCATCCTGCGGTAAACACACCTGGCCCTTGTCCCAGCTCCCTGGCGCAGCCCGCAATCCCGGTGTCGTGTGCCACGCGTGTCGTGCGTGTCTCGCGTGTCGTCAGTGCGGGCAGCACAGCTGGTTCAACATTCAGGCTTTGGTCTTGACAGGAAGAAGAAGGCGGAAAATCCGTACTTGTCTCCGGAGCCTCGGAAAACAGGTAGGTGCGGTCGTCCCCTGCAGCTTCACCCTGCCTGCCGCTCGCCATCGGGGGCGCCGGCCCTGGGCACTGACCCTGCAGGCGACACCCGGGCTGCAACCCCAACAGCGGAACAGAGCTAAAACGACGCGCCGCGCTCCAGCCGCCAGCGCTGCGCGGGGGCTACCAATGGCTGCGCGCCGCCTGGGGCGGGGGGACGGGAGGGTGAGCCCCGCGCCTGCGCCCCACCGCACAGCTTCCACCGTGGCTGCCTGCGGGCCTTCGCGTTTTGGAAATGAACTTGCAGAGGCGGAGACTGCGGCGGGCTGGCTGAAGGCGGGCGGCGGCTGCGCCGGTCCGCCCTGCCTCCGAAGGCCAGGCTGCGGCCGCCGCTCGCCTCCTCCCAGCGCCGCGCAGCTTCCTCGGGAACAGCCTCTGGCCGGCCCGCGCTGCGCCCCGCGCTTCCCGGGATCCCGCGCGCAGCCCCTTAATCCGCTCTGCCCCTGCCAGGCTGCTGGAGGCCGGCCACGCACGCGCCGACCAGGCCCCCGTCGGCCGAGTTCACTATCAGCTATGACGACGACGAGGATGACGACGAGGAGGGGCAGAAGCGCGAGCTCCGTGCCAGCGCCCTGGAG